CCATTGTATGAGGACCTGACGAGTAAATAGAAATGTCAAATATGTACCTAAAACTTTTCTGTTCTTTACAGGTGCCTCTTCCTCCAGTCGGCGTAGCACGTGAGAGTATTTCCACGCAGCTCAACGTGTCCACCTTCCTCTCCTGCCTTGAAAATGGACGCTGGCTGCCAAACAATCGAGGTAAGCTTTCTATCTGAGAAAGCAGCAGTTGAGTTTTCACAGTGCTAACGTAGTTGAGGGGGGCGGGGAGGAGCGGCAGCCCGGCGCTTTGCTCGTCTGCGTCTCCGAGGCTGTCTGTGGTGCCGCCGTAGTTGCCTCGCGACGGCGATGGTAACGGCCCCTTGAGGCTAAATTTTGGAGAGCACGAGAGCACAGACCAACAGACACCAGCGCCGCCGCCTAGCCCCACCCCCCCCCTCTCGGAACTACGTTAGCACATTTTTCACTGCATCATAAAAAGAATTCTTTTTGAAGGACATCAAGGTTTCACAATGTCTTTCATCCGGTTGCGGGTGCAGAATAGTTCGAGTGTGTTGCTGTGAAAACAACACATGTCACAACCGACAAACGGCGTGTTGATCCTTTCTATATGGAGCTTCTTCGGTTGTCGTCGTGTCATTATCGTCTTTATACTGGAACCATTTACATGCTCGCTTTCACTGAGAATCACACCCGTACTTTATTCTGCTTGTTTTATGCGCCTCTTTTCAGCCATGCCATTGTTATTGTTTTTCGTTTCACTTTGAGATTTCTGATGCAGGTTCTGAGTGGCAATGTAATATGAAAACCTGCCGCAGCTTACCCAAAGGCCTTTACAAGTGTCTTTTGGAATGTATTTTTGTTATTTGTTCTACAGTTAACCCTGTACTATCATGGTCTTTCGTGAATCTTTCAATCATCTCTATGGTTTTCTCATTATAACGACGCAATTCAAAATTCTTAATATCAAGTGATAGCTTGAAACCGGTAGATTCCCAGTAGGTGCTTTCAGGAACGTTTAATTTGGAGTGGTTTTTATTCCACTGTGTCGATCGCGTTTTATCACTTGTATCTATAATTATTACTCGCATGTTTATCGCATAAACTGACCGTATGCAACAGCTACTAGCAATGACATCTCATGTCGAAATCAGTCTTGCTAATTTTGCGGTTGTTGTATTTTGTATGTCCTGAGCATTCTAGCGGGTGGTGAAAGATTAACCACTATATAATAATATGAAATAATAACTTATATGAGACCAAGCGATTCATGAAAATTGTGATATTTTAATATTATTGTTTGTATAGTTGCTTGCACCAACCTCATCCGATTACTGATGCAATAAAATAAATGCATCTATTGGCGCCACGTTTTACACAGGGTCAGGCATAAATATGAATGGTACACGACTGGAGGCCCGTCGCGTGGCGAAAAAGCAAGACGCAGACGGGTCAGCGGACGAGTCGCAGTGCGTATGCGATTTGGCGTCCTGTTAAGTAGAACTACCGCAGTGCATCAACATCCTGTCAACTAACTTAATGACAAAGTTCGGGTTTTCCGACCGAAATTCGGCTTTTTACCGTGAAATATGCAGTAGTACACAAGGAGCATGTGCAGAAGTGGTGGGATGATTCGGCAAGTCTATGGCGATAAGAGCCAAGGACGAGGCATCGCGCCGCCACAACTCATTGAGCCCGCTCACCGTTCGCTTGACTTTCCTCAATCACGTGGGGACGCTCAACGTTTATCTGTTGTTTGGAAGGTCGTAGGACAATATTTAGCAAATTTCAACTGCGAAACTCAGCGCTAAAGCCTAAATTACGACCAATATTGAGAGCGTTGTTATTTGTCCTAATGAGCATCGAAAGATCAAATGAGAAACAAAAAAATGCAGAGAAACAGAAAATAATAAGAAACCTAGAAACAATTAGTTTTCTGTGCTGAGATTTTTAGCCGTGCCGATTTATGGCATAGAGCCATCAGTTGCTGAAAACACGTTCAGGCACGCCCTTTTCCCAGCCCGAGCTGCAGCTAACGAAGAGGGGATTCCTATTTTGAACTTCCTACACGGTTCTACCTGCTTTCTTCTTTACTGTCAACTCACCTAGACTCAGTACATCATATTTGAATAGATAAATCTCTCATTTT